TTTTTTTTTTTTTTAATGTATCTTTTCCCATTCTCAGATTAATTGCCCATATCCGTCACCTATCTAATTATTCTTCCATTACACGTTTTTTAATCCATATAAATTTTGTCTCTTTTTGCTTGAGTAATACGTGAAAACTAATACTTAATAACTAGTAATAGTATAGACCAATATTCATTGATAAACATATGAAATAATTTATTGTTGTTTGAAAATTGTAAACAGGATAAAGAAGTATCAATCAACAAACAATGGAAGAAAAATGTAAACGTGAGTTGGTTTTAGAATGCATTTTTAAACTTAAAATTTAAAACTAGTTATAACTTTAAAGGCCTTGTCAAACAGAAAGCGTTGTTAACGTCCAGGTATTACAGTTGCGTAATTAACCCTACCGCCAACGTTACATATGTCACACAGAAACCAAAGCGTTGCGTCATGATAGGTTGATAGTAGCCGATAATAATGCAGTATTGTTAGTACATTTGTAAGGTATGGACGGTATAGTTGACAAAAATGTCCAGTAGTTCGGACGAAGAAGAACTTTTACTATTATATGCAGTAATTGAAAGTCGACAAAAGGAGAAGCGAATTTGGGTTCATGACATAAATAAAAAAAGAGAAAATTATGACGAATACCACCCTTTAAATCGTGAACTGGAGTCACACTAAGACCGTTTTTATTTGTATTTCTTGATGTCTCAGGATAGTTTTGAAGAATTGTACGAACTGATTTTACCAAGGATTGAAAAAAATAACGCTGTTACGCACGTGATTTTGTAATTGTGTACAACTTTGTGTTTAAGCGTCGCGTTCTTGCGCCATTTTAATCACGCTGAAGAGCCATGTTTGACAGCCGATATAATTTGTAATTGAATACAACGCGAAGATTTATAACGCGAAGATAATAACGCTTTCACGAGCGAGAACAACGCGTTCTGTTTGACAATGCCTTAATAAATTTTCATAATATTGTTTTTACTTAATTTATTATCTTTAGCTTGACGTACCGGTCAAATACCGCCGGTCCATAATAGGAATCAACGGGGAGACTGTCCGTAAACTTTGTAGTACATTTAAAGTACAAATTGTAATTCCTCCAAAAGAGGAGTACAAAAATACAATAAAGGTAAGTGTAATAAAATTGTAGTCTATAATATTTTTGTAATAAGTTAATTAGATTCATTAAATTCTTTGTGTGTGTTATTTGATCATATTGACTTATTGCAACGATCAATTATTATAAAAATCAAAATATAACTAAAATTTATTGTATTTTAGATTACTGGACCTCAACAAAACTTAGAACAAGTCGTCAAGGAAATCAAGACGCTGATGGAGAATTTTGATAATAAACAAGCTCTTGAAATTCAGGTATTTTGATATTCGGTTTATTTTTTCTTTTATGCTATACAGGCTTTTAAGGCCTTTTGCATGCTTCCACCAAGTTTCTCCATCCATTCCGGTCCATTGCGTCATCTTGTCGTTTTGAATTGTCAGTATTTAAAATATACTTTTTTACCCTGTCTAACCATCTCTGGCGAGGTCTTCCTCTTGGCCGCGTTTTTGTTACATTTCTGATTAAGACATTTTTTATAATATTTTCGTCAGCTCGCCAGACGTGGCCAGCCCATTCCAAGCGCTTTGCCTTCAAGAATAATCTTATATTCGGCTTGTTAAATAACATTTCCAGATCTTTATTTTTCTTTCTCATATTCTCCATTTTTAAGTCAAACAGGTCCGTGAATTTCCTTTCGGAGGTAAGTAATTTTTCTTCGTCTCCTTGTGTCGTAGACCATGTCTCACATGTATACATTACTATGGGACGTAGAAAAGAAGTATGCAGTTTCTCTTTTGTTTCTTTGGACAAAAGTTTAGAGCTTAGCATCTTATTCATGGCAAAATACGCTTTATTCACACTATTTATTCTCAATTGGTTCCCACTATGCATATTATTTTTTGTGATTACGTTTACTCCAAGGTATTTAAACTCATCCACTTGTTCACAGGAGTAAGGGCCCACTTTTAGTGCTGTTTTATTTACTGAACGTCTAGACATTATCAGGTATTTGGTTTTTTTCCTTATTGATAGTTAGGTTCATTCTGTGGCTGGACTCTGTTACTTTCTCTGTAGCCTCAACTACATCGTTTTCTGTATCACCTATAATAACAATGTCGTCAGCGTACGCTAGCATTACATTTTTGCCTTTCAGCTCCATTTCATGATTTACTGATATATCTCTAATAACTTTTTCAAGTGCTAAATTAAATAGTATAGGAGACATTGTATCACCCTGCTTTAATCCAGATTGGACTTCAAATTTTTGTGACAGCTCCCCTTAGTACCGTAATTTAAGGTATGTGTTTGAATTGCATATTTCTATCAATCTGACTAGCTTTACTGGGATTTCAAAATTCCTCAGCGCTGTCCATAGTTGTTGTCTGTTGATACTATCATAAGCTTGTCTGAAGTCTATAAACAACATGAAAAGGTCCTTATCATGTTCATAATTCTTCTCCATTATTTTCCGGATAGTAAAGATCGGGTCTGTTGTTGACTTCCCTTTTATAAATCCACACTGGTATTCTCCAATTATGTCTTTAGCGAATATTTCTAGTCGTTTTATCACTGAGAGGGATAGTATCTTATAACTTGTGTCTAACAGTGAAACACCTCGATAATTTTCAACTTTAGACATGTTTCACTTTTTAAAGATTGGACAAATGATCGCTGTATTCTAGTCTTTAGGGATCTGTTCATTAACCCATATCCTTCCAATTAATTTCTGTATCTGTATTACTATGTACGGTCCTGCTAGCTTCAGATGTTCTGAGTTACATTGTCTTCCCCTGGAGCTTTGTTGTTCTTCAGGGAGTTGATTATCATCTTAACTTCATCAAGATTTGGCTCCAGTACCTCCGGTTGTACCGTGTCGTATATTGTGAACAACGCGTTATGTTTGATAAGGCCTCAATAAATTTTAATAAAATTATTTTCACATAATTTATTGTTGTNCAGAAGTTCTGAGTTATATTGTCTTCCCCTGGAGCTTTGTTGTTCTTCAGGGAGTTGATAATCATCTTAACTTCATCAAGATTTGGCTCCAGTATCTCCGGTTAATAACGATAATAACGCTTTCACGCGCGTGAACAACGCGTTCTGTTTGATAAGGCCTCAATAAATTTTAATAAAATTATTTTTACATAATTTATTGTTGTTAGCTTGAAGTACCGGTCAAATATCGGAGACCGTTAATAGGCCTCAACGGGAACACTGTACGTGATCTATGTAATAAATA